TGTTGTTGTTGTTTTTTGTTGATCCAATTTTTGATTAATATATGTTATAATATAATCAAGTTTAGAACGAAATGTTTTAATTTCATGTTGTAATTCAAGATTTTGTCCCATAAATTTTTTTGATAATTCTTCGGCTTCTAATAAAATATGAATTGAATTAATTAATTATTTCTATTCTCTATGAAAAGTTTCAAAATACAAAAAAAAAAAATTAGTCTTTCTCATATTTAAGAAAATGATAAATTAATATTATTATATTTGTTAGAATATATCTGAGAATAAAAGTGAATGTTTTATCTCAAAAGTATACAAGTCAACATATATTTATCAGTATTTTAGTATCATTAGAAGATAATGAGAATGAAGCAAAGATCTTCTATAGAGAATTTTTTACTATAATCTTGATATCAAATATCAATTTTTTTCTAGGAATGATAAATTTACATTTAAAAAAAAAGAATTGCTAAAATTAGAAGTAACGTAACAGGAAAAAGGGAACTACGATATTGAATTACAAGCCTACCGGTGCACCGACAGTTGAGCCCTCGACAGATGAGCCCCGACAGTTGAGCCCCGACAAATGAGCCCTCGACAGTTGAGCCTACCGACAGTTGAACCTACCGACAGTTGAGCTCCCGACAAATGAGCTCCCGACATGTGAGCCTCACAAAATTGAAATTTCATCGATCAAATATAGAACACACGAAATTATTATTGAATCGCTTAATTCACTTGAAAATAGTGCACGGAAACATGAGACATCTTTCGATGGTACTGATGGCTCGTCGAGATATTTTTTGTGGCTAAGTCAATCATCTGTACAGAAATGAACAAGTTTTTCGAACAATATTTCTGTGACTCATAAAGGTTTTATCATTCTTGGTATATTTTTCTATTATCATTAACAATGTCAATCGTGAAATCTTCAAAAAACAAGGATCAACTTTTACTTAGTGGTTATCGTTATCGTCGTGCAAATAAATCTCAAATTATTTGGCGTTGTTGTCGAAATGACTGTGCTGGTCGTGTACGTTTTGATGGAACAGGTTATATTAAAGTTACGGATCATCTTCATGCACCAAATCCTGAAGAAACAATATCAGTGGAATTCAAATCAAATATCAGTTCTGGTGCAACAATATCGCATGATCCACCACGACGTATTATTCATCAGGCTTTATTAAATTTTTTTTAATATGAGGCTCAAGTGTCGGGAGCTCATTTGTCGGGAGCTCAACTGTCGGTAGGCTCAACTGTCGGTAGGCTCAACTGTCGAGGGCTCATTTGTCGGGGCTCAACTGTCGGGGCTCATCTGTCGGGAGCTCAACTGTCGGGTCACGAAGCCTACCGTAAGAATATAACATTGTCCGTTTAATAATGATCTTTAATTCTAACCGAGAATTTTTTTTTTCTTCTCTTCTTATGTCCATTATCAAAACTATA